TATAAGTAAGTCAGTGGTCAACGCGAAAAGAAAGTACTCGTTATCGCGTCATCGGTATGAACGATCGATTTAAATCGGGTCGATAATACTTCTTCTCACAGGAGGTACGAAGAAGGTACGAAAGTGAAAGGGGGCGGTTATAATAAGTGGAGTACCGATCGAGTGAAGGTTCATAAGAGATAGCGATAGCGAACAAGAGAACAACAGAAAGAGAGAAAGAGAGAAAGAGAAAGAAAAAGAGAAAGAGAGGAAGAGAGAAAGAGAAAGAGAAAGAGAAAGAGTTTATCACGAGAATGTTTACTACGTTTAGTAGTATCAGTATACAAACATTATAAATATTCATGTAATTATCTATTTTTATATATATAGAAAAGAACGTCGCCATTTGGAAATAATACTTATAAGTTCGATTTGAACTAGAGTTATGTACGTGTGTGTGTGTGTGTGTGTGTGCATGTGTATGTGAAAGCATCTAGGTTAACTACTTACTTCGTGCATTTATTTACCTATATTAGCTTACGACATTGGAATTCCTTTGATATACTGGACATATCGAATGAATTATAATACCGTTTCGAAATGACCACTTTGTCCCTGTCCCGTAAGCATATGAATGGATAAAAAGAATAAAAAAAAATAAGAAAGAGATAAAGATAAAGAGAGAGAAAGAGAGTAGACGAATATAACACAACACTTCTCGTTCGATCTCTTCTCTTATCTCACAGAAAAGGTCTGTATATACGGTTCGCCATTGCGTTTCGAGTAAACCGGTATTGAACACGATCCTGACACGAATAGAAAAGGGGTGCAGGGGACATAAGGGAATGACAGTGACCTTGCATATTATTTCGGCTTGCATTTAGATTCCGCATTTACATAGGATGTAATTTGCGTCAGTAGGAATTGAATATGTACACACATACATATATACATTCATAGATATGTCTATACGCGTTACTGGCACGCGATGATAATAATGTCGCGAAATAAGGGAGACAAGACACTAATCATACCATTTGATTGGTGACTGTGAAAAATTTCTTTTTCCCTTTTTTCCCCAAGTATATTTTAGTTTTTTTTTTTTTTTTTTTTTTTTTTTTTAATATGACCCTCTTCTTTCGTTGTTAAAACTTCATTGGGGGGAGATTTTTTTCTTCCTTTCTTTCTTTTTTAAGTAAAATACATTAATGTGAAGTAAGAGTTATATTAAGAGAATTAAAAAGTGTAAAAGTTAACAAAATAACGTGCGATCACATCAGACAGAAAGAGAAAGAAAGAAAAGAAAAAAAGAGAGAGAAGGAGAGAGAATATTCTTAAAAATTTTCAAATTAGGAAAAAGAAATATGGTAGTAGGTAAAAGGTGATTGCGCCTTAGAAAGGGAAAAGAATAAGTGAAAGGACCTTGACAATCACCAAGAGGGATATGAGTTAGGAGAGGTGCGTCTACGACGTATTCATTATTGGGCGTCGCGACGCTCGAATGACGACGCCGCCGCCACCACCGCCAACGACGACGACGACGACGACGACGCCCAATCGATACACCACTACCATCCATTATCCGCCTCCCCTCCACTGTCGCGACATGTATATTTCGCTTCCCTTTCAAATATTCATATCGTTCTCTTTCCGACTTCTCAATCGGACTTCACGAAGCAATGTGAAAGAGGTCATGATCGGCATCAACAATTTTCTTATTTCTTTCTTTCTATTTTTTTTCCCCTTCTTTTTTTCTACGAGAAAAAATCTAATCGATTATTAATTATATACTCTATATTATATTACTATATTATATCTTAATTATATTAATACTATCGATTATAAATTTTATATATACACATGTGTGTGTGTGTGTGTGTGTGTGTGTATGTATTAATAAAAGAGAAGAAACCACATCGTTATAAAAAATCTTCTTAGAAATAGGTATAAAATAAAAGAATCATGTTTAAATTTGGCGCCGCTTATACTTATCCGCTAATAGGACAAAACGTTCTTCATAACATAAGTACACTTCTTATACATTATTCATGCACATTTTCGAAAGATGTTACAAAGAATAATAAGAATAATAATAAGAATATTCTTCGAGAATTCTCTCTCTCTCTCTCTTTCTTCTCCCAACTAACAAGAATTCTAGTAACGAAGAAAATGAGAAAATATCGAAAAAATAAACTCGAAGAGACAAACTTCTTCACACGAGTTGTATGGGATCTTACTACTCGAGAGTATTCTTCCGCATTCCAACGAGCGCGTTACATATTACATATATATATATACATTATGATTGAGAAATATATATATATATATATATATATATATATATATATATATTTCTCAATCGGAATATATAATAAGAAATGTTTTTGATTCAATACATCAATTCAAGAATAAGCATACTCTACTCGTACTACTCGTATAAACTTAATGACTCATATATTCCAATAACAATAAAGAATATATATTAAGGTTTTAATATTTCCTTCTCTCTCCCTCTCTCTCTCTCTTTATATCTATCTATCGATCAATTAATCATTCTATCTAGTTATACACGTGCTATCTTTTTGAAAAGGTTAGAAAATGTTTAGAGAAACGCGGAACGTTTGCCTCAGTCGTAGAGTTCTATGCTCGTGCTTCCGGGATCTTCGTGAGTTGAGAGAGAAGGCTTTGCCCTTCCTGACCTCGTACACACCTATTCGTACCTGTTGGCTACGTTTTCTTCTTTTAATTCTATTTGTGTATATATATATATATATATATATATATACATATATATTTATGTGTGTGTGTGTGTATATATATATCTCTCTCTCTCTCGAATTTATTTCAATAACACGAATTATTTTATTTCAATATGAGCAATGATACACTTTGAACGAAAAAAAAAAAAATAAAAAAATAAAAAAAAAAGAAATAAAAAAAATAAAAAAGAGAAAAAGGGAAAAAAAGGAGGAAGAAAAAAAATAAATTAATAAAAAAGAAATGTCCAATAAATATGCGCCATTACGATCGGACTGATCACTGAGCTGTGATTGGCTGAGAGAGAACTCGTTCTCTTGGGGAATATCTTAAATCCAGGCGATCAATAAATTCACAGGAAAGAGAGAAAGGGAGAAAGAGATAGAGTTGTACATACTCCAAGAAGACATAAAGCGAATTGAAATCAATTAAGAGTAAGGAGGAGAAAGAAAGGAAAAGAAAAAAGAAAGAAAGAAAAAAAGATCACAAATAATACATATTACGTTCTTTTTTTTTTCTTTTTTTTTTTTTCGATAAGAATATGACGATGACGATGATGATGATTTTATGCAGATCTTTTTTCTTTTTTCCTTTTACGTGTAATCGAGACTTATGATTGATACGATCTATGGTTCGTTTCATATCTATCGAAAATAAATCTTTATTGTAAGTATTTATGTATGTATGTATGCATGATATATATATATATATACAAATATATATTCATTACGCTCACGTACACGCACACGCACACGCACATGCACACACACACGACGCACATAAATATGTAACACTTGAAGTAATATCGAAGAAATCACAAACTCGTTGTTTGAGGAGCATCGACACCGACAGAATCGACCGTCCTTGATAATAGAAAGATAACTATCACGATAAACACGTTAAGAGAAAGAGCGAGAAGGAAAGAAAGAGATAAATATATTAACGATCAAAGATTCGCAAGAGACTTTAAGCCGGTATTTTACGACGTAGAGAAAAAAAAATATAGGCGGCACCATGAAAATGCTTATGGCAGTGAAATTTGAATCGGCGATTTTATAAAAAGTGTCAGTATACACTTCTTAGTTTCTTTCGAGCAATCGTCAATGAAAAATATTTCCATAGTGCTCTGAAAGATACTTTTTTTTTTTTCTATTTATTTTTCTTTTTTACATTATTACTTTTGACGATACTATCGAACACATTTACATTAAATGATTTATATATGGTTTGTAATTTAACGATGCGATTAACAGCTGATCGTGAAGAAAGAATTAGAAAACGAACAGAGAGAGAGAGAGAAAGAGAGAAAGAGAGAAAGAGAGAGAGAGAGAGAGAGAGAGAGACACACGAAGATAGAGGCTGTCAAAAACTGGCGGTTTTTAACAGAAACATCTTCGATAAAAGGATGTAATGTTAGAAAAATGAAATAAATAGAATAAGGGTAGAAGGGGACAACATTGCACGTGTTTAAGATGAAACTTCGAAACATGAGTACAAAAGTTCTCTCATTTGACTTCCTCGCCAAAAGACGAGTCCATATCGTCACACTACGCAAGCGGTCGTTCGCGAAAAAAAAATCAATTCGGAGTGACGTACAACGTCGTGTATGGTTGCTTCATCGGACGATTCGAATGAATTAAAGAGCGTTAAACTAACGTACCAGCGTCAGAATCGCTCGTTGATGATGATATTGCGACACGTCAAAATGTGCGACCGTTTTGAACCGTTCGTACGAGCCAACCGTTTGTTGTAAATCGTGAACGGCCATTTTGCCAGGACCCGTCACACGTCTCTTCGTGCTCTTCTCACTCTATCTCCCTCTCTCTCTCTTACACATATATACAGTATACACTCTCCTTCTCTGTAACGTTTCTCCCTCCCTCTCTCTCTCTCTCTCTTTCTCTCTTTCTTTCTCTATCTGTCTGTCCCGCTCGTATTTTGCAAGATCGTTTGTAGCATCTATATCGCCATCCATAAGAAATTCGTGCGTAACGGGTCGTAGGTACTCACGTATTTTTCCAGGGTGTTGTATTAACGATGGGATCCCTTAGATTCGAAAAATTCACGTGAAAACCCGGACGAACACGACCATCGAAAAACTCCTCGAGATCACTTCTGCGATCGGACTAGCCGCGAGGTGGCGCCTTGAAAGACTTCGCTCGGTCACGCATGCTCCTTGCCGCCGTGGGGGTCACGTGACACCGCGACCTGCCCGTTCTTTCACGATCTTTGTCGACGTTACACGATGACAACCGATGTTCAGTACGCTCGCTCTACAATGTCTTTCTTTATATTATTTACACCAACGCAATATATATATATATATATATGCTTTAAGTACTGTGTTTCGTGCGTCGGTAATAAAGTTTCTTACTTGAAAACATGGAGTCCGTCGGTAATACGATTTCTATAGTTTGCAATTGGTTTCGTATGTCGGTAATATGGTTTCTTAATTTATGCAATGTTACATATGTTGATAATGAGGTTTCGCAGCTTCCAATGTTATATCAATAATGAATGCTAAGTGATAAATTCAATTGCTATATATAATGTGTATCAATATGCATGTTCATGCGTGCGTGCATATGTGCGTCTGTTGCTTGTGTAAGTAAATGTAAATGTATGCTCTTCCGGATTATGATTTGATCTAATTCAATTTTTATATGAGTTTTTAACAATTGAAATAAAAAATTGAAATATATGTGATATATAATAAAAACAGAAGATTTTTTATGAAAATCTCTTTATGAAATACATTCATCAAATTGATATTTTGTCTTAATACGTAAAACTTGGTATATAGAAATTATTAGAAGTTTCATATTTACGTTATTATATTTTCGAGAGTAATGAGTAAGACAATAAACAATATGGAGATCACATTCGGATCTGAAGTATGAATCATTAAAGCGAATTATACTTTAATCCTTTGTAGACGGAGCTGTTTGGCGAGTGAGCATAACTGTAGACGAGAGTTAACAATCAAAAAACTAGATGGCAAATAAAAATGCCAATATCCCACACTGTGAATTTACTTCAATAGAAAATAAAACTTCAAGGCTAAAAATCTCTGATTTCCTTTTAAAGGAAACATTATACCGTTTAGTATATTATACCTTTACGTATCTTATCACTCAGAAAGATAGACGTATATACGTGAGTTACTGTATAATTCGTATCTGCAACGGTGAACAGACTTAAGTGGCTATTTACTGACACGTGTTCACAAAGGGTTAATAAATAAATTTTTTCTTTTTGCTTATAATAAAACGAAATTATATAGAAACTTTATAGTTTTTATTGTTTATTACAGATTTAAAAAAGTTTTTATTTTTTATTACAAAAATATATTTAATTAAAAAATAAAGGAAAAGAAAAAAAGAGAAAAAAAAACAATTTCGATCCTGCCAGGATTCGAACCTGGAATCTTCTGATCCGTAGTCAGACGCGTTATCCGTTGCGCCACAGGACCATGTTACTTACGGTTTTTATTTTTTATATTTTTTACAAAGCTTACAATGCTATATTATATATTGATATATATAATTATTTTATCAATATTATTATGTTATCATTATATAAATTATTTTTTATTAAATAAATATATATTGCTACAAATACAAATTATTTTTACATATATGTATAACAAAATACTTAAAGTGAAATTAAAAAAAAAAAGAAAAAAAAACGATATAGAATGCATGGCATTATTAATTTCATACATTATTGATTGGTTAAAAAATGTACTTCATTGGTAATATTTTCTCGATTAAAATTCATTCTGAATGTAAGATGATGTATATAATGCAACGTTTTTTTTTTTTTTTTTTTTTTTTTTTTTTTATAAAAGCCGTGTAAGTTATATCATTTTAATTTTTTTATCGTACAATTTATTGATAATAACTTTACAAAAGTTCGAAAGAAAGAAGAAATGAAATTATTATTATCATTAAAGTTGATTAAAAAAAAATCACACGATTGCATCATGATCATTTATTCTCATATCGTAATCGTTCGTGATAATATCATAATCGTTCATAATCGTGTCCGAATGCGATTGTATTTTTACAATATTAAATATCATAAATTCATACTTAAGAATATAATACAATATTAATATTATTAAGTACGTAGCACATATTTAAATAAAAAAGACATTTTTTTCTATTACCATGAACGATGTACTGCTACTTATCTATTTTTCATTCCAGAACGATGATTCATTATATCGATGGTAGGGGAAGGTCTAAATATCGCAGTATCTATAGAACCTCAAAGCGCATTGGTCGAGATATAAGGCCACATTAGATTAGTCTATATAGCATCCGGGCCTTACAAGATATTTCTGAGATATTTCATTGTGTTTTTTGCTCATATAGTATACGAAGTTCCTTTGTGTCAAGTATCGGAGAAAAGGATATCGTTAAATGATGCGCATGTATATGTGTATATATATATATATATATCTGTATATAATTATACATCTTTTTTTTTTCAATCATATCGCAAAATTTATTTTTTATCAATTGTAGCATCAATCATTAATTCGTGATAAATTTATTTTACATTTGTCGATATCATGATATAACATTTTTCTTTTTGTTCTCGGTCGCCATGACAATTTAGATTATTTTTTAAGATACACGAGCATATACGATATATCGTTTATATAATATAACAACTATGTAATTATTAATTGTGATAAAAATATGTGAAAAATATAAAGAAAAATGTGATCTATTGAAAAGTGTGTGATTATTGGATATTATAGAATAATTGAATGATAGGAATGATTCGAAGATTAAATTCGTCCTTTTTGTAGTAAATAATAATGAAGACCGTCCGTAATTTCATCAAACTCATGTAACGGTAGGTAATTAATTTATAATATATTATCATATATTTTTTTATATTATTCATTATATCCCGTGAATGAGATAAAGTTTTAAAGAAATTCTACAAAATCAAACAGAGAATAGAAATGTACTTATACATATATCACGATTTCGATCGTATCAAATTATTTTCAAAATTTGTATATATATATTTTTTTTTTATTATAAATCAGAAATTACACGAGGAAAAGAATAGATATATGTATACATATGCATGCATACATTGAACGATGTCCGCAAATATAATGGTAGGGATTCCCTTATGTTTCTATTTTTAGATTTCAATGTAGTTATATCACAGAAGATGGCGCAGCGATTCCGTAAAAAGTTTAACGCCGGCAAAGATTCAATGAAATACATGCGTCGAAGATCGACGAACCGCGCTGTTAGAAGTATAAAAGAAATTAAATTGTTTGATACGTCGATGGTGAATAATAAAGAAGATTTTATGAACATAATAGGACTCGAAATGAAAAGGCAAGAAATAGAAAATAACGTGGAAAGAAATAATAACGTGATAATTAAGAAGAAAAACGAAGAGAAGGAAGAGGAAGAAAAAGAAGAAGAAGAAGAAGAAGAAGAAGAAGAAGAAGAAGAAGACGGAAAAGAAAATTCTTTGGATACTTTAAGAATACGAAAATGCAGTGTCGTTATTGTTGCCGAAAGATGTAAAATTTGTGACTTACCTTTCAAATGTAAAAGTGACGTTATATTCCACACGGTTATGCGGCACGGTAATGATCCCGTTATAAGCAATAACTATACGGGAACCAATGCCGTTACGAAGAAACAACGTTTAAACATTCGAAGACGGAAAACACCGAATAACAATAATAATCTCTTTCGTCTTAAAATAAAAATAGGCGAGGAGATCATTTCGGATATTACTATAAATCGTAAACATTTGAAAATATTAAATTCCTCTTCTAGTTCTACATCTAATTCATCATCATCAATTTTCCCGCCAAAAATAATCAATCCTGAAAATCGAAAGAATGAAGATTCTATTATGGTTAAAAATAATTCTGAAAGTAGTCTACTAGGTATTGATTATTTCGGCTCGACAAAGAATCATTACGAGAACTATGTTATGGGCGTTCAACCCTTGAATCATATACATATGTTAGACGACTCCCTATTAAATGAAGGGTTTCGATATAACGATGACGGTAATCGTTCAAAGCATGTTATAGATGTGGAAAATAAAAATACGGCATATTGTAACGAAGAAACCGTATTCTTTGAATTACCTTTGTTATGCTCTTTACCTAAGGATATTAAGATAAAAAATAATGAAAATTCCGGTATAACTAATACCTCATCTATTGACGAATGTAATACATTCGATAAAGAAAATACAGTTGCTAAAACGCAATCGGTAAAAAATATTGTAAATGTTGGCCAGTCAATGGTACCTACCGAAATGCATTTGGAATCGCTTAAGGAAGATGAGAATAAGGTTGATGACGATGAAATACAGGAAATACTTCGTATTACCAAAAGAAGACGGACGAACAATAACAACCATAATATCATACGCAAATTGGATAGTCCTTTAAATAGAGAACGAATATTGTTACCCGATTCCGAAGAAGAATTTATCAATATGAGGGAAAAGGGATACCATTTATGTATATCGATAGTATGATATATCATCAATACTAATCCCTTGATGTTTTCCTCCGTCGTACTGGATAACATCGGAATTATTCGAACTTCGTAATTACGCCAACAGTATATAGTATAAAAACGTATAAGGATGCAACGAAGATAACAAATAGCGACGCTATAAAAAGTTGAAAGAGAACTCATAACTTTTCTTCTTTGAAAATCGCTTAAAGCCTATTATTATTTTTGTATGATAGACTGATGTAGTGTTTCAATTCTAATGCAAGTGTATATATATATGCGCGTTTTTTTTTTATTAATAATCTTACTAAAAATATAGTAATATCTTTTCAATCATGATTGCGAGTTTCTCTCTTAATTGACAATAATTCGAAGCTGTGCTTCGAATATTATTAAAAAAATATGTTGTATAAATATTAAGTAAGGGAGAATTCATAAGAAAAACGATATATGGAAGAAACGCGGAAAACAAAGAATCTTAGAAGATTTTATATTTTATACAATTCAATCGCTGCAATATGCTGAAATAAATCTAAATATTGTGTATGTATGTGTGTGTGTGTGTGTGCGCGCACGCGCGCGTGTGTGTGTATGTATACGTAATTATGCACAATACGTCACACACACAGTGAGGTACTTAAGTATTCGTATAGTACATTATGTATTTCCATATACATATACTATACGAATACTATAACTCTCCTATTGTATATATAGACTATATAAGTCGTATATATAATGGTACATACGTACATGTCTACGATGAGAAACATGTCTACGAACATGTTTATTTTCAAAATTATTTAAATACATTTTATAAAATCAAAAACTCATTAATGATAAATAATTATTAAAATTAACAAATATAACTTGCATACAAAACAAGTATATTTTTTTCCAAATTTTTTTTTTTTATTTTTTCTTATTCACTCATCGAATGAACATGTTTATTATATGTTGACGTTTATTGTGATATCTTTTTTATCACTTTATTTATAATTTATTCGGATGATGATGTTAAGAAAATTGTAAAATAATACGTAATGTCAATAAGTGAGAAATACAAGTGTTCCCTACTTGTTACCTACCTACAATATCATAGGTAATTATTCCTTGAAAAATAATTGGAACAATTAGATTACGATGCGTCAAATTTATGACGCATATATATATATATATATATATATATATATATATATGTACGTATAACATATAATACGAATCATTTACGTCATAATATTTATCTTGATTATGTTTTTATATTTCTATGTATCTTACTTAAATATGTTTCGTAAATTTCGTATGTCGAATCGTGATGTCTACCCATATTTATCTGTCATTATTTTGGTATTCCAATTTTCTACTAAATTTTTTTTACATTTTTACTAAAATACTATTTATATAAATATATTATATATACATACATATATATATAATTACATATAATATTCTACGTATAATATTATATTATATTAATGTTGTGCGTGCGTGTGTGTGTGTGTGTGTATAAATGTTTTAGTAAATTTTCAGTAAATAATATTAAAAACTCCAATATTATATGTAGCCCAAATAACAACAGATAGATAAGGGAAAAGATATGGAATATTTTTTTATTATATTCGAATGAAAAATTTGTATACAATTTTTAAAGGTTTTAATAAAAACCTTGGCGATTATAGGATAACTTAGATATCGGTTAATTTAATTTAGAATTAAATTAATCGATAATAATAAATAAATTTTGTTTAATGTGCTATAGTCGGCAAAAAATACACTTAACGCACTTACACGATGTACGGTGAGAATATTGTTGATGGACTGACGACTTTTCGTGTTTGCGTCGATTTTATAGACTTTGGATCGATATTAATCGTCCAATCAGAAATAAGGAAAATAAAATTGGGGAAGGGAGAAGGTTTATGAATTCTTTTATGACAGGAACACGATTAGAAGAGAAACACATTTGCCTGATATAACGTATATACGTTGATTCGTCATCGAACGTAATTAAAAAGTTATATTGATCCTCCGATATTTTCCCGATTCTTTTTTGTTTTTTATATTAATATTTATTTACATGACAAAAGTTATTATCAAGGCCGTATTTATACTTTCGGAGGCCCTAAGCGTAATATCATTATGAGATCTCCAAGGAAGAAGTCCATTTTAATTAATCAAATTCATTCGCTTCTTTCTAGCATTTATTTTAGCAAATATATTAGGTTGCATTTTATATTGTCCCTTGCTCTCAATCAGGTTTATGATAAAAATAGCCTTCGTTATTATTATTAATAATTGATTCGCTTAAATTGTATTACAATTGATATACTTTGATACTTCACAAAAAAAAAAAAAGAAATAGTTTTCGTCACAACGATGAAATATAATATTAAAATATTTTATTTTATACATTACAACCGTCACGATATATTTATCGAACAAATATTCAAGCAATTACAAACGACGACGATGACGAGTAAATTTGTTATTGGGAAAAAAAAAAAAAAAAAGAAAAATACATTTGGACAATCTCAAGAGACTTATCGTAATTATTTTCTGTTTTATCATTAATCATCTTCATAATCAAAAAATATTTTTCTTTTCTTCGATTCTTCTAAAACTAGAAGACAATTTTGAATAATGTTCGACATATTATCATTCTCATTTTTTCTTTCCAAAATATGTTCCAACGAACCGTATAAATTTTCTAACTGATTACTTGTCCAGTTCTCCGTTGATTCGATGATCCTCTGGAATAATCCTTGTAGTTGTGGATCCATTACACCCTCAACACTTGAGATATTGGAAGGCGTACGTGACATTCTAGAGCGTTTCGGTGCTGGCCCTTCTCCTGATGCACTACATTCTCTCTTAATATTAACTTAGAAAAAAAAATAAATTAAAGAAATCATTTATGAATCTATCAGATTTGATTGGCTAATGAGCGATATCGAAATTTTCTATACTTTATATCTAAATAAACAATATAATATAATATATTGTTCATATGTAATAGTATAATAGTATTGGGTTGGTCAGTAAGTAGTTTTTATGTATATATATATATATATATATTTATTTATTTATTTATTTATTTATTTATTTTATGTATTATAAAATACTAGAAATGTTCTTTTCACCAACATTACTTACTATTATTAAACCAACCCAATATATGAAAATTTAAAAATTTAATTGCACGATATCAAAACATAAGGAAAATTAATATATATATATATAAAGAATTTTTTGTCTGTAATGTTGCCTGTAAATGAAGTTAATTCTTTACTTGATTTGGTCGCCGATTGAGTGGATCGAACAGCAGCAAGTTTGTTCCGAGGTTTTGACTTTTTTGTCGTAGATCCATCCACCGTGTGTTCTGTCATACGACATAATTTTTATTTTTTTTGTTAATTCATTGCCACACTTAAAAAAAACAAATGTTAAAAAAAGAAATATTAATCGAATCTCTTACGGCGTCCACGTTGTCCATTGAAATCTTTTAGTGAGTCCATTTTAAATTTTTTCCCATGTTCGACCTTCGTTTTCTTCGGATCCATAATTTGTATAAAATCTATTATATTACAAGAATTTTTTCATAAAAATAACAAAATAAAAAATCATAAATAACAAAAAATCCAAAAAATAAAGAGAGAGAGAGAGAGAGAGAGAGAAAGAGAGAGTTAAAAGATTGAATAACAAGAATATAATTTGGACAATGATATCTACCTTGCGAGGATCTGCTAGAAACAGCATCCGATGTTGAATTTGAAAAGAGCTGTAGAAAAAAAGATTGACGTTCTTGCAAGCCAGGTAATGATACTTTGAACACCTCATTCTGATTTTGATCGAACGAATTTTTAACCTAAATTAATCCACGAAATAATGAAAAATTAAATTAAACGTTAAGTGATAACTGATCTTCGTTAACATATGATATCGTGTATATATATATATATATATATATATATATATATATATATATGTATATATATATATGTATATATACCTCTGAAGGTAAATTCTCGTAAGAGGAATTAGCGGTTGCAAGAATCAACATATAGACTGTATTATCGAGATCTCTCATCAGGGAAGCAAAAACTACACGTGCTGTTTCGTCGACTAGGCTCCACCATGATAAAATATCAGGTATGTACAACAACGATGGTAAAGTACGACGTGCTGCTTTCACTTTCTATTAAGGATAAAATACGTACATATACGTATCTATGTAAATATTATACGTTATAATATGTTATGAAGAAAGAGATGAACAATCCCTAAATAAGATCTTTCAAGTATTACCTGAATGATCGTCTCTTCGGCAGCCCTACCAGTTTCTTCGAAGAGCGTTGTTACGTCCAATACGTGACAAGGTAAATGATCTAATTCATGAAGCAAAGCTGGACCTAAATGGCGAGTATGTGAATCATCCTCACCGCATAATAATATTCTAGGACAGGCGGTTGATCTTGAGTTCGCTTTGCCGACACTGCGGATGCGGAATGAGAAGAAGAAAGGAGAAAGAAAAAAAGAACAAAGAACGAAAGGATAAGAATAATGCGACAAGAATATACAGCTTACATATCATCCGATGTCAACATTCCCGTTGGACAAAGGATTTTTAACTGAGATTGAATGGTGGAAAGATGATCTCGTAAAAGTGGTTGGATTCTGATCGATAAGGATTTCACTGGTGCTATGACCACTCTGTGAGACGCTGGAACGATGTTCTCCTGGGCCTTCAGAAAGTCTTGTTTCTCGACCTTCGTTCGTTTGTTTGTTTTGTTTTTTTTTTTTTTTTTTTTTTGAAACTTCTCGAAACACTTGTAATTTTCGAATGAATAAATTTACCCTCCCTGTAGAATTTACCTTGAGGTGACGCTCATTTATGTAGCGTCTTGATTTCGACGTGTAAATTTCCGGATAATGCCTTCGAACGCAACACATGACAGCTTCGGCGCAGAGAGCTTGCAAATCGCTACCACAATATCCTACCGTTTTCGAAGCCAAATAAGCGAGGAACTTTTGAGGAGGTTTATGTTTCCAACTTTTAATGTGAACCTAAGATGACGTAATATTTAATCAAAATATCTCACTTAGGATATATTATTTACAATATATGCGTACATAAAATGTATATATATATATATATATATATACATATAATCAAAAATAAAATCTGTTTGTTAGGCATCGAGTTACCGAAAGTATGTCTTTCCTAGCAGAGTAAGAAGGTAAAGGAAAATAAAGTTCTCGATCGAATCTTCCTGGTCTTCTTAGCGCTGGATCAATGGCGTCGATTCTATTAGTAGCACCAATTACTATAATCTCCGAATTGTTCTCGAGTCCATCCATCAGAGCCAATAGCGTAGAAACAACGCTCGCATGTACAAAATCCTGACGACTTGTTCTTATCGGTGCTAAACCATCAACTTCGTCGAAGAAGATGATACAAGGTTTCGTTTGTTGAGCCTGTAACGATTACATTAACGGATCGATTGATCTTAATTATCGATCTATTAATTTAATCGTATTAATAATATCACATATTATTCTAACCATACTAAAAATTTTTTCAAGTTTTTTCTCACTTTCACCAACCCATTTGCTCAAACAATCTGATCCCTTTCGTGATATGAAAGAGACCTTGCGTTCAGAGGTACTACATTCCGATGCCAATGCACTTGCTACCAAAGTCTTGCCCGTTCCTATTAAACGAATAAAAATCAATGAAAATATTGATTGAAAATATTGATCGAATAAATTGATATTAATTTCTTATCCGCGTCGCCGATATATATGTATGTATATCTTATTTGTTAAAGTATTTTTTATCAATTAACTTCACCTGGTGGACCATAGAACAAAAGACCACGTGGTGGTTTCAAATTGAACTTGGCATAAACATCACCGTACATAAGTGGAAAGAGGACCATCTCTTTCACTATTCTAATATGTTTGTCCAAGCCACCGATATTTGAAAAATCCTTTGTAGCCGACATATTCGTAAAAATTGATGAGTTCGTGTACGAAAAGGAACCTCTTCTTCTTCTTCTCTCTCTCTTTTTTTTCTCGTACTAGGACAAATATCAGATATATTATTATTATTATTATTATTATTATTATTATTATTATTATTATTATTATTATTATTATTATTGTTATTATTATTATTGTTATTATTATTATTATTATTATTATTATTACAAATTTCAATAACGTAAAAAAAATATCGTATCAGGAACAACGTGCACTTTGAAGTATACATGCATCGTGGTTAATATATATATATGTATATGTATATATATATATATACGTACGTGTTCGAACGAGCACTATTTTACTAAAATTTACAACATCGTTAATTAGTTAGGTACGTATTTACGATACAATTTTAATCATTGACATTCTGACACAAAGGAGGCTAGGTTGATTAAAGACATATGAACATATAGAAAGGATTCTAAATTGCGAGAAAAAAATAAAAGAAAAAGAAAAGAAAAAAGAAAAGAAAAGAAAAGAAAAGAAAAGAAAAGAAAAGAAAAGAAAAGAAAGAGAAAAAGAGAGAGAGAGAGAGAGAGAGAGAGAGAAAAAAGCCAATGCAATATGTTACGAAACTCTGTTTTATTTATTTAATGTTTTTCTCTTTAATCTTTTGTTTTGTTTTGTTTTCTTTGTTGTTGTCGTTTTGCTTACTACAACGTGTATGACAATAAGATGTATTATTACTTATATGGTAAAATAAATAAGGCAGTGGATGCTGCTCTTGCATCGACACTCTCCCTGTGTAAATTCCCTTATACAACTTCCTTTTTTTTGATCAGCTCGTCAAAAAGGACGAATACAATATGGTATCGACGAGACGCAATGTACGTACGTACGTCTTATTAATTCAACGACACGACACATTCCGCAAACATATTCAATTTATATACACATAAATATGTATGTATATATTTACTTATCTAGCTAGCATTATCCTTTTTCTCTTATATCCAGGGGGGCGAGGGGAGGAGGAGGAGAAGGAGGAGGAGAAGTTGATCTTTCGAATCTTATTTTTACCGTGTTTAATAAATCGTTTTATTCGTGTCAGTCAAACCATAAACGAATCAATCAATTTTAAAGGCAGTGTTCACCGCAAATATTTCTCTCTCACTCCTTACGAAACGCGATCGATCGATTCGTTCTTTTTTTTTTGTGTGTTTGTTTGTTGTCATTTTTTTTTTATTTTTTTAACTTTTGTATTTTTTGTATTTTTTTTGTATTTTTTATCATATTTATCTCTCCTTTTCTCTCGTCCGCGTTTGTTACCCCTTTCTTTGTTCTATTTTTTTTCCTTTCATTTCTTTCCTCTTCTTTTTGCAAAATTTATGGCAATACAGAGATGATAGCATTTTATCGAGAGCGTAGCACCATAATAAAATAATAATATATATGTATGTCAATCGCATTCGATATTTTTTTTATTTAGGATGGAATGTCAAGCGGATCTGTGTAAACGGAAAAAAAAGTCCTGTTGGGAATTCGAATAGATTTTCATTAATATTTTTGTCTCTCTTTTTCACTACTTGTCTATAATTACGATCCTTTTTTTCTCGTAATATTATCGTTATAAATTATTATACACAACCGGGATGTCTCTCTCAAGTTTTTTCTTTTATATTATTCTACAAATGGAAATAAGAAACAAAAAAAATAATACATATATATATATGTAAAAATTATAAACGTGTTCAGTTATGAAGTTAACCCTCTATAATCGGATATTTTTTCGCATTCGAAATAAAGAAATATTTTGAGCATTATTATACTATATTAAGTATAACTTAGACTTGAAAAAAAAGGAAAAAAAAAACCCATTAAAAATTCCGTATATGAAAACTGACAAATAATTTTATAATAAATGAAATAAGTTTAAAAAAATTCTATATATGTGTATACTTGTTTTTTATAATTTTGTAAATTACACACACGACGTTATAGTGGGTTAAAAACAATGTCATTTAAATGTAACGTAAAGTATATTCGATCTTTATATTGTAAAAAAATATAGAAAGTTCGATTATATTTATCTTATCCATATAATCGAATGATGTTTGTTATACAATTAACGTAACAGTTGATGCGGATAATATAATTAAACATAAAATGAGTTATATTTTTAACTGTCCTTCGTCTAACATTGTTTGTTTGTTTGTTTTTCTTATTTTCACTTGTATATAATATGGGGGGGGGGGCGACACCCTGTATGTATACATTTTATACTTATGTAAATGTAAAAGAATTTCTTTTGTCGAATGAATTCTCATGTAATTTTCTTTGGTAAATTGTGAACGAGAGTTTCGTTCGCCATCGGAGCAATATACATTGGTTCATTGTCTGTCTATATATGTCAGAAAAGTATTAGAAATTTAAATCAGATATACATATAAAAAGATATACGTATGTATATGTACAACATACTATTGTAAATTATTTACGGCATATGTATTAATATGCGTTGAACACATATTGACGATCTATATGCTCGTACACTTTCTCTGTAAATAATTCAATTTTAAATGTAATACAGTAGAGTCTCCATTATCTGAATCGATATGGAGACAAAAGTATATGACTAACTGTAACGAACACTTTTCCTATGTTAAACATCATTCGTTTGCATTCAATTAGTTGCCATTGTCATAACGTACGCTATTAACTTAATATCACGGGGATGTATCGTAAATAGGGTAAACAGTTTGAATCACAATTTAACTTTTTATGAATATCTGCAAAAATGTTCTATGTAGATTTTATACATCATTCCGTTGGAATTTAAGTCCTTGCAAAACTTTTCGCAAAATAAATTTATCATTTAATAAAGCAAGAGTATTTTTTTATTCTTTCTTTTAGATGTATTCCAAATTTTGCGATATACATAGATACACAGACTTTGTCTTTTATATTGCAGAAATTCAAAAAGTATAAAATCTGAAGATTTGTCTGACCAAGCAATATATCCATCATGGCCAATAAATCTTTGTAGAAAAATTTCGTTTAGAAAATCACTGTGATAACTCTGAGGTAATGAGCCGGAACTCGTTGTTGTATTTTATGAAATAATAATTGTTTAATTAAAAAAAAAAAATTTTTTTTAAGTTGTTTACTCTGTTATGATACAATCTAGACATTGTTATCATCAAAATTCGTTCAATTGAACGGAGAAAAGTATAAATGCGTAGCACATAATATAACATAGAAATAGGCATCTTTTGTAGACATTCTGTTCAAATAGTATAACGTTCGAATATTATGGAAATTCGGATAATAGATTTTACGATACGGGAGACTCTACTGTAAGTATTTTATACAGTAGTGAAAGATTCGATTTAAAGTCAATCGAATGAGTGAGGCCGATGATAAAACTGTATGTAGGTATGTATGTATATAAAATCTTTCGCAATATATTCTCGAAATTATCTTAAACGATATTATTATTATTATTATTATTATTATTATTATTATTATTATTATTATTATTATTATTATTATTATTATTCTATTGTTTATATAAAAACATATATCGTTGACTGACAAATTTTTACGAAGCATGTTGACTTCGTAATAGTGATTGATTTATTACTGTAAATTACAGCTTGGAAGAGTTTTCACAAATAAATATTTATATACAATGGGTCACAAAAATAATCGAGTAATTTTTGCTATAAAGGATATATAATCTTTTTCAGACTTAACGAAGTGGATCATTAAAGTTAAAAAAAAAAAACAATTGTTTTGCACTTTGCTGATATAACAAAAAAAAATTTTTTTATTTAATTCTTTATAGTTTCATGGTATACTAATTTTTTTTTTTTTTAATCTCTATCGGAACATTTTAAACAGTTTGCCAGTCTAGGAAAAGTTATTATTTATTTTAAAATATTTCAATATATTTTTTGTGATCCATTATAAATGCATAGACTCTTGTACTTGCATAGATCATTTTGAAAAAAGCAAGCGCTATTTTAATAACAATCGTATGACATATATATCTTTTTCCGAAGTAGATTAATACATTATTTCTCTCGTTATAGTAGAGCTCTTTTCTCTCGGATCTTATATATAACTATCTTTTTTCTTTTTTTATATATATTTATATATATATATATATATATATATATATATATATATATATATATATATAGACTAAAATCTAGAGAGAGATATATATTAACCTGAGCAAGAGAAAGTACAACGTTCCTTCACCGATTTACTTAGATCAGATATATATATATATATATATATATGTATATATGTATATACTTAAAAATGAGGCTAACTATTTATTTTATCTATTAATTTCGTCTTTATCACGTCTTTTTTATAGATTATCCTACGTTATGAAATACTGTCAATTTCGACAAGACTTTCGTTTATTTGAAAATTTGACTGTGATTATATAATATAGGTGTATATATATATACATACATATATATGTATATGTATATACACACACACACACACACATACACAAAGATATCTTTCAAACGGAGATGATTCAAACAATTTGATAATTAAAATGTGAATGTGAAACAAATAAATGAATTAACGAAATCACATTATGATAATGAAATATCATATTGAAAAACTCTATTTTATCGAATTCATACATTGAGATCTTTTACTTTCTAAGTAAGACGTATTCTTAAGATAAAAGAAATAAAAAAGAAACAAGAATTAAATAGCTCAACAAAAAAAAAGAAGTTTTAATCTGATGCTCCGAAAGTTAAACTTATTCTTGGATATTATATTTGGCTGATTTCAAAGATATCATTGATTTCATATGTAAAAATTATTATTTAATAATACTTTTTTAATTATAATTTTTCAGAACATAAATGGAAAACATTGTTAATATATCGTGTAAGTTTAAATCAACATGTACAAATGGTTTTCAAATAATCTAGAAATATATTAGATCATACGATCAAAGATTTTGAAAATTTTAATGGACTCCATTTTAATGGAAGAAAATTAGCATTTTGCTGACTGTTATGCTTCATCTCAAAAATTATAAATATTAGAACAAATCTGTTATCTATTTATGTATACTATCTTTTTATATCAATGTCCCAAATACTTATTATCCAAAAACGAATATAACTTTTTAAGCATCAAAATATATGTTAGGCATATGTGATGTTATAAGATACATACGTTATATACTTAATATTTGAATTGTACATTTTTTTTTATGTACATATATGAATGTTTCAATACATTTTTTTTTTTTAGCATAAAATAACCCTTCTCTTTATACATATGCATTTCCTTTATAAAGCACAGAGCTCGATAGTATATATAAAAAAAAAAAAAAAAAAAAAAAAAAAAAAAAAAAAAAAAAAAAAAAAAAATGTTTAGGACAGAAATTGATATTATCTTTTTGTTACGTCATATTTTTTTTTTGTTTTCTTTTTTTACGGATACGTTTTACCGATAATATCATAGAGGCTAAATCTAAAATACAAGCGGTGACAAAAGCCCGCTTTCGCATATCCGTTTGCATTTCAGTATTTAAACAAATTATAATATACCTATATATATATATATGCATGTATGTACGTATGTATGTACGAATATAATTTTTACTTATAATTAATACATGACTGTTAATTACTATTAATTATATATCGAATTTTCTTATACACGTTAATTATTGGCTGAGATCAATTGTCATCGTTTACTTTCGGATATTATGTAATGATTGTAAAATATGTGTACATAATTTCTATAAAGAAATTATATTGCACGAGCAGCACAAGAAATTCAATCTATATTATTTATAATAAAAATAATATATTTGAAGTAAAAAAGAAACAAAAAAGAAAAGAAAAAAAAAAAAAGATTAGAATGTATGATTTAAAAAGAAATATTTTCTTCATTCTGATTACATGTATCTATATAGACTTATACATAGGAAACCACATAAATACGTAAATTTGTTCCGTGAATTGAGGATTGTCATATACGAGTATATGTTGAAAAATTTAATTAAATTAATTCTTTCTATTTTTTATTAAAAATTTTATACTAAATAATGGAAACGTTCGGTACAAAAAAAAAAAAAAAAAAAAAAAAAAAAAAAAAAAAAAAAAAAAAAAAAAAAAAAAAAAAAGAAAAAGAAAAGAACGGAATTACGAAGTAATTAACAAAAGAATTAACAAAATATTTTTCCAAGATCGAATACATTAAAAAATAATCTATATATGTGTATGTGTATATATGTATATATAATAATTAATAACCAATAAAAAAAGAAATGATATAAAAAAAAAGAAGTTCGATGTGCTTTAAAAAAAGTCAATAAACGTGTATTTTATTTATTTTTTACGAGAATCTGTATGTATGTACGTGTGTGTGTGTGTGTGTGTGTGTTTATATAAAAATTATTCATTTCGACATTTATTATTATTTACATTAATTTACCACCATCAAATAAAATCATTACGTTTTATCTATAATTCAATTGTAAAAAAAGAAACGCTAGAAAATGAAAGATTGTTTCTCAAATTCAGTCTTTTAAGGCCTATTTGCTAATAAACATTAAGTAAAGTACGTATTAATTTCAATTGATCACGACATAAGATTCTGTAAAGGAATCTTAAAGAGTTCTTATGGTAACGTAAATTCACATTTTCATACGGAATCAAATTTAATGGATTTCTCCTTCGCCTTTTAAAAGTGAATTTTATATTAAAAATTCAATTTTCTTTCTACAAATCATTTCAATTTTATCTTCAATTCTTTAGAAATGCACAGCGCAGCACAGTAAAGCCTTGTTTAAGAAATGGTAGTATAATATTCAAATTTGAATAACTCTCTCTCTCTCTCTCTCTCTCTCTCTCTCTCTCTCTCTCTCTCTCTCTCTCTCTCTCTCTCTCTCTCTCTCTCTCTCTCTCTCTCTCTCTCTCTCTCTCTCTCTCTCTCTCTCTCTCTCTCTCTCTCTCTCTCTCTCTCTCTCTCTCTCTCTCTCTTTCTCTCTCTCTCTCTCTTTCTCTCTCTCTCTCTCTCTCTCTTTCTCTCTCTCTCTCTCTCTCTCTCTCTGTGCTATAATATAATAAGACTGATACATTAACGCATTTTATCTGGTAACTATCATCTCACAGTAACGATGTAGATCACAACCGGCATATAAACTTATATTGAAAACTATATATGTCATTATAATATTTATACATTTTCGTATTTCTTTTCACACGTCAAAGTATTCTAAAATTATTTGAAGATTTTTAATTTTATCAATTCTTATACTGTTAACAAGCTAATAATCTATATATTTGATAACTTTGGTTAAAATAAATCGCTAATAATCAGTTTTTTCTTTCTTTTTCTTTTTCATTATACATTATGTCCATTAAGCATATATCAATTATATCTTGCATAAATTATCAAACCTTTAAATGATTTATGCTACATCAGATTATCACATGAGATGCATTATAGATTATACAAATCAAATAATAATAATATCTGTGTTTAAGAATCTTAATGGAAAGCTTAATTAAATTGAACCTTTAGCAACGAGATGTGATGTATATGTTGCTTCATTGAATTTCTTGTGATCTTGTGCAATAAGATTTATGTTTTATCTAAAATTTTGCTGTGTGAACCTAATAAAAATAAAAATGTACTATTTTATCTATAAATACAATAGAAGTTAAATTCACTTACTTATAAATAAATTATACATATATAAAATTTAAATACCTCTGTAATACCTCAATATATGATTATTGTTTACCTGGAATGTATTTATACTATTTTCTTATACATTTGGATTTTTATTTTTACAAAGTGGAAAATATTTCCTTTCTGTATCTAATTCGTTTGTATGTATTTTAAATATAAAAAAATATATGAAACATTAAAATATTGATGTGCAGATTAAAAAGTCAAGAGAATATTTTTTTATTACTTTGACATGTGTAAATGAAAATTCTTTTAAGATGTTAATATTACCTATATGATTTGTTCTCAATTAGTTTTTCCAATTATATCCACTTTGTAAAATTAATATTGTATCAGGAATATTCGTCGGAGCTATATATTCTCTATTGCATGTAACGTAATCTGTAATGGCATATACAATAATATAAATTTAAATGGTTCTATAATTTGGTAATATATGTTGTATGACAATTTAACAATATGCTAGTGCTACTTTATATGGAATAGTTTCATTACAATTCCATATATTAGCGAAATTCGTTTAAGTACATAATGTACTAATTTACCATCATCTTTGTATAACCATGTGATTTGCATGATTTTAATAAAATTTCTATTTTCTTTCTTATTATTGTTATGTCGTATAAAAAACTGATCACATTACTAAAAAAAATATTCGCTTCGTATCACTTTATCCAAATTCGTTTTATCATCAATGATTATTAAAATAAAAATAAAAAAAAAAAAGAAAAAGAAATGCGCGTAAACATATATATAATATCAAATAATTAAAAATAAAAACTCCTTCTAAAAGATTGTAAATTTTGCACTAATAATAATAAATAATATAAATAACTGTCAGCTATAAAAAGAATTATTCTTTATAAAGTTAGGGAAAATGTTCTTACTTCAATGTTCTATTGCTTTTTTCTTTTTTTTTTTTTTTTTTTTTTTTTTTATGTTTCTTCTGTTTACAAAAAGCCAATGCAATTTGCAAACAATAAAGCTTGTTTGTTTTTTCAAAGAAACATTTCTTTTGAATCTTATTACATATTAATTCAACTATTACGATAGTGACAATCATTTATAAATATTTTATATTTGGCAGTTATAAGAACTGAAAAATGTACGGCACTGAATTTTCGTTTGACATTTGACTGTACTTTTAGTGCCAGTACATAATAAGTCTTTTTTTTATGGTGAAATTACATCAATTCACAACATATCTTCTACTGCATATTTAGTTGACTAATTATGTTGTGCTTTCTCATACAAACTTGTCTTGTACTCTTCAAATCTTTCCAGTTCCTTGAGTAAGTCCTATTCACAGAATAATATATATTTATATATTTACACACACACACACACACACGCACACGCACGCACACACACACACACACACACACACACACACACATATATATATATATATATAAATATATATATATATGTAAAATATTTTTAAATTTAATACTAATAATTATTATATCAACACATTTATATAAATAACAAAATATTACTATCACATGCGGAAAATTTATTATGAATAAAAATTTAATGAAATAAAATGACCTACTTTTTATGCTGTAATATATACAGGGTCTTCAGCATAACGTTTAAAGCATCTTTTTGTCGCACTATTGGAAGTGTTTCAAAAATCGTTACGTTGAACACCCTGTGTATATATATACATACACACACATAAAGAAATATTAAAATATATATTTACCTTTGGCAGTGATTTTCTATCGTAATGATGCGCGTATCTTCCTACACACCTACTTAATTGCACATAAATGTCACACAATACCTCCACAGAGAAATCCTTTGTAACATCCACAGTGTGCAACCAAGCAGTTTCAAGTTCATTTTTATCAATAATCACTTTATCGTTTTCATCAACTTTTGATGGACTAGAATCACTCTCAATTGCAAATGATAATTCATCTAAACTTTCTCGTCTGGATGATGAACTTGAAACATCATTTCCAATATTCTTATCATCTTCTATGAAACATATTTCCACATTTTCAAAATCATCAATTCGCTGCTCTATCATATTGTCATTGTGATTTATTTGAATGTCCTTGGAGTTTTCATTTTGCGAATCATTCTCAGAATCAGTGTTATCATATAGTGGTACATGACCATTTAAAACACTATTTGCTTCTGTTTCAAATTCTTGAAATTTCTCTAAATCTATACCAACTGAGGGTTCATTAGTTAGACATACCTTACTGTTTATTTCAGAAATATTACCGTCGAAGCTAATTTTCTTTTTCTTTTGCACCTTCTTTACGTATCCTCTAGCCCAAGCAGGAATCTTACGTTTTCTGGATTGACTAAATCTTTTCCCGTTTACAGAAAGTGTATTATTTACTACTAATTCAGGATCTTTTTTATCATTTTTCTCATTTGACAATGTAATCTCTGCTTTTGTAATTTTATTTTGCATTTCGTCATTATGATTGGTTTCAATAATTTTACGATTTTTAGATATTTCACGACACTTATCTTCAAAATCAGAATCCAATTCAGCCTTAATCAATGCATATGCATTATCACGAAGAGAACAGGCACGGTGTCTAATCAATTTATCCGCTGGATCCCTGTATGGAAAAGGACCAAGTAATATAATTAGTATACAATCAATAACGCAAGAAATATAATACAATTAATGAAAAGCAAAAAATCTAATGTGAGTGGTTTTCAATAGTGCTCTGTAGAATGGCAAATAAATAAAAAATAGGCATATATTAAAATTAGAAAACATATAAGGCGTATTATAATAAATTGAAAACCACTTTAACTACAGAGCAACAACAGCAATGGATAATCAAGAACTACCTCTTCAATATCCCAAGGGAGGGCCTATCACGCAAGCTGACATGAAAACATACAACATGAATGTCAATACGAATTTATGATGATATGTCCAATGACATAACAAATCATATTTCTTTAAATAAGTACAAAGAAACACCTTATCTATTTTTTATTTTATCTTATCACTAAATATATAACATGAATACAATTAAAAGACGTTATAAATTCACTGTATGCTTTTAAGTTACAAGAATATATTTGTTAAATATATATTGTATTTTTTATTTTTTAATTATATATATATATGTATATATATATATATATATATATATATATATATATATATATATATATATATATGTATATACCAACCTATCTGGATTATATTCCAATGCATTTCTACAAATAAGATCAATATCATCCAGAAAATCTCGAGCGCATAGGTAACAATGCATATCAATTTTAGTCATCATAGTTTCCAAATCCATAGGTTGCTTTATTATCATATTATAATCGGGTACTTCTTCGGTATCTACTGGTTTTGTGAACATGAAAAATCTGTGGGGAAAAAAAAATGCACTAATTGCAATTACACTTGATATTATTTGCTTTCTTATATTGTTCTTAAACACACACGCGCGCACGCACACACACAGAGAGACAGAAACACACAGATACACAAAATACAAATAATATAATTATTAATTAAAAACTGTAGAACACATACTGTCGATTCCTAGCAAGTTTGGCACATATTTCCCTCAAGAAAATCCTAAGTTCTCTTAAAGATACTTCTTCTTTTTCATACAACATCTTTTTCTCTTCGTCGGATAACTTCTTTGGCATTGGATCTGGAGCCAAAGGAAGTTCCTCTAATACTTGAACTTTGTTATCCTTAATTTGTGGTTGTCTTAAACTTTGAACCGTAAATATAGGCTTGAAAAATTTCGATCTTTGTTCCGAATTTGGAATTTTCATAGTATATACTTCGCCACGAAGTTCACTGAAAAGATTTTTTAATTGCATAGGAAGATCTTGATATGTTTCGTCACTAGTTGCAAGAATCAATATAGGCAATGAAGTATCAAGCGCTGCAATACGACACAAAAAAACAGCTTTTACGGTCTCTGGAACCAGTGGCCACCATTGATCAATCGAACGTATATAAATAATGGACGGTACATTTCTGGTAGCTTCATTAAACACCTATCATAAATAATAAAAAAAAAAAAAAAAAAAAAAAAAAAATAAAATAAAATAATAATATACATATACATATATATATAGTTAAATTAAACAATTTTTTTTTTATATTTATATAATAACAAAGAATAAATTTAAATAATGACTGACCTGCACACAGGTTTCTTCTGGAGAACGTGCACTTTCTGCAAAAAGTGTACTAACATCTAATGTTTGTACTGGTAAATGTTCCATATGATGTAATAGAGCCTGTGCTAAATGAGGTCCTTGACCCTTAGATAAATTACCACCAGAAACTAATAACCTTGGACGATGTATTCCTTTAGTAACTTTCACTCTAAAAGAAATTTATACGTTAATTCTTTTAGTGAAATTAATAAATATTAAATAAAAAATAATAAATATATATTAATAAATACTAAATAAAAATTAAATAAGTTTTCCACGTGTAACAATAATTGCTATTAAATATGTTTAACACTAATGTTTAAAAATAGATAACTCTGTAAAAATGTTTATTACTTTGCCATAGCTGGATTGACACCTTGAGGAAATATTCCCTTTACTAAACCAATCAATTCTTCTAATGGAGGACCTAATAGAGGCTCCATAAAAGGTTGTAATTTTCTGCCTGCACAAGGAGTTACTCTTTGTGATGATGGAATTAAAGTAGAACTAGCCTGCATAAAATCTTGTTTTTTTACCTATAAAAGAACATGAATTATATGTTGAACAATATATTATTATTAATCGGATAAACATATAAATATATTTTTCTTATTTTGCATTATGTATATTTTTCTATATAAATCATTAATAAACATACTTCTACTTGTCGAGGATCCAAAAGCAATCTATTGCTGGTCATATAAATTTGTGGATATGTTCTTCTTAATCCCTGTAGTACCGCTTCGGTGCATAAAGCTCTTAAATCCGAACCGCAATAACCAGTTGCTTTTTCAGCTAATATTTCTAATAATTGTTCAGTTGGTGGATTTTCCCACTTATTAACATGAATTTTCAAAATTTCTAATCTTTCTTTCATTGCAGGTAGAGGAAAAAATAATTCACGATCGAAACGACCAGGTCTTCGTAGTGCAGGATCAATTGCATCTATTCTATTTGTTGCACCAATTACTATAACCTTTTTCACAAAAAAAAAAAAAAAATAAATAAATAAATAAATAAATAAATAATTCGAGAACGTGAGTGTGTCCACGTGTGCGTGGGTGCGTGTGTATATCTTCATCTTACCTCTCCTCTGTCACTAAGACCATCCATAAGTGCTAAAAGGGTAGATACGATGCTAGCATGAATTTGATCTTGCTTGGTACTTCTAACAGGTGCAAGACCATCAATTTCATCGAAAAATATAATGGACGGTTTCATTTGTTGAGCCTGCTCAAACAACAATCTCAATTGCCGTTCTGATTCACCAACCCATTTTGATAAACAATCTGCTCCTTTTCTCATAAAAAAGGCCATTTTTCTACTACCCTGACTACATTCATTTGCTAATGCTCTAGCTATTAATGTTTTTCCAGTTCCTGTTTCATAATAATTTCATATGTTTATATTAAAATTATATGTGTGTATCACTAGTGTGCATTGTATAATATTTAAATGAAATAAAAATTTACCTGGTGGGCCATGAAAGAGGACACCTTTTGGAGGTGTGATATGATATCTTTCGAAAACTTCTGGATACATCATAGGAAAAACAACCATTTCTTTAAGGCAGTGGATATGTGATTCTAAGCCACCTACATCACTGAACCTAATATTTGTATCTAACGTAATTGGATTTATATCTGCTTTACGATCTGGAGGACCGCCTTGGGGTATTGCTGATTGCCTATTGAATTAAGTAATGAAATAGTAAAGAAATTCTAATCCTATTGCTGATATCTATTATATTTCTTTTTGTCTAACTAACCTTGCTTTTTTTCCTTTTTTTTTATCATATCGTTGCGGTTCCGAATCACTAGAATCACTTGAACTTGTACTTTTGCTTCTGTGCTTTCGTCTTCTCATAGAATTGCTAAGCACACTCCTGAGAGCTCTTATAGATCGTCTAACTGGTTCAACATTAGCTTGAAATCTATCTACAGTTGGTTTTTTTTGACGTAAACTGTATTTTCTAGGGCCAGGAGAATCTGATGATTCACTTAAATCACTATCTACAACTATGAGATAGAAACATAATAAGAATTTATATTTTATATAATATTATAATACAATAAGTTGATACCAGACCTGTAAGCTTCTTACCCCTTGGTAATTGTCGTTGGGTAGTTCTTCTAGTACGCTTAATACGAGTATACATATCCTCATATCCCTACACATATTAAATGTTGAATATAAATACCTATATAAATATTATTACAATAATTCTATTGCGATTATAAAATAACATTTTATTATATATTTAATATATAGATTTATATAAAGAAATCAATATAAATAAATTTCTTACATCTTCATTCTCAGAATTATCATTATTTTCTTGTTTCTCGCTCTCATGCGAGCTATCTTCTGCTTCGTCTTGTTCTACTTTCGATTTTACAGTTTTATCTAAAGAATTTCCACACAGCCTAGTCACAGGTCCTTCTCTAAGCCTACATGGACTATTAGATTTGCTTGTTCTGTCAAACAGATTTCAAAGATATAAAATTATCTATAATAATTAATAATAGTAGAAATATGAGAGAATATGTTCACCTTGTTTCCTTTTCTTCATTTGATGTTCTTACTTCAGACTTATTTCTTGTTTCTAATTTATCCTTATGTTCTCTATCTTGCTTTTCTCGTCCTTGTCTATCTTTATGTTCTCTAATATCTTTTTCCTGTTCCGACTTTTCTCTAAGATCACGATCAGATCGTCCCCTAAGTTCTCTACTATTTTGATGATCATGATCAGATCTATCTCTAATATGTCTGCTTGAATTTTTATTAGGAGGATGATTTTCACGTGATCTTAAAGGCATACGATCACGTAAATCACGCTTCCTGTCAGGTACTTCATCTACCATTTCTTTATCAGATGAAGATCCATGTTGTTGAAACATAGGATATCCTTTTAAAGTTTGCGTTCCTATAACATGATTTATGAATAAAAATCACCTATGAGTTATGTTGCTGTAATATACTTTATCTATTAAATTTATTAAAACCTCTTTACCTAAAATCCAACTAGTATTGAGGTTGTCATAGGTTTGCATTCTATTACGAGTGCTACGTCGTACACTTAAATTATTCCTAGTCATATGTGAGCTAGTACTATGTGAATGCGAACGTAAAGTACGCAATGACTTAGCTCTTCTAACAGAATCACTATGGGGATTAAATATATCTTCCTCAGTATCCATTGAATCCAAGGTGGCATCATCATCTGACATTATCTATTAAATATTTTTAACAGTCAAAAATAGTAACATATATACACACACATTCTTAAATAATCAAATTTATTATAACATCTTCTATTTAAACAAACATATTACGCCACATATGAAAATAAAAATATTTCGTTTTATTATTTTGAAAAATAAAATTTTTATATATAAAGAAAATATTTACATGAGATTTGTACTATAGTAAAAGAATGGCTAATGATTTGTCATTGAGGAAAATCCATTAAAGTATATTGACAGAACACTCATATGTAATAGTGAGAATATAAATCCTAGATGAAAAAATAAACATATCAAATCCAATTATTAGGATAATAATTTTAAATAAAATCATAAAAACAAAATATAAGAAAAATAAAAAAAATACTTGATTTTCATTTCAATTTATAACATATATATACACACACATATATATATATATATATATATATATATATATATATATATGTAACTTTCCAAAGAATATATATATATATGCATGTGTGTGCATGTGTGTAACTATTTCTAAAGAATTTTTTTTATTGATCACGAAATACATGCAAAACAAACAAAATTACCTTCATCGGGCTAAATCTTGCCAATATAGAAGTTACTCGCAAAGGAACTACTAAGGCCCGTCATATGTCTTTCTTGAATATAATAACCACACTCTTGAACGATCTGCTTAGCACACAAACTAATAATTTTTCCAGTTAACAGTAGGCGATAAGAATATCACTTAAATTAGATTTCTTTATTGTTTCTTATATATGTACAAAAATTAAACATAATTTACACACAAGCATGATACAAACGTTTAGTAAGGCAAATTGAGACCCTTTTCCAGGGTCGCTTTCTATTGCAAAATATATATTCGAAATGGGTACACACATATACAGACGGAACTAAGCTTAGGCTGAAATTAGCTACTAGAGAACTATGAGCATTCCATTACAAACCTAACTTCACTTACCAGAGTTCGCCTTGAATAATGCAATATTATAGATGTACAATCGAATATAGCAATAAGGATAGTATGTAATGTAAAAGAAAGTGAGAATTTCAAATTTTAGTTCGATTAATGTCCTCCAGATGGTACTCAAGAGCTGTGATCAATTTGCATATTCGACTAATCTCAATTGCTCGAATTATCAATTCATTTTACGATAGCTTAAATTATTTTTCATTAAAACTCTTCATCGTCTTTGATTTTATAATGGTTTATATCAACAATGAGTCCAGGCGAACAAGATCTCATTTAAAGATAAAGTCAAGAATCCTGTTTTTTCGAATTTTTGAAAAAGCTTTCTTTTTTCTTTTTTTTTTTTTTTTTAAATCACTTAACCTTAAAATGAGAATTTATTTATTATAATCGATTTAAAATTATGTTTGGACTCAATGTTGACGTAAACAATGTTTTTATTTTTCGTGAAAAATAATGTTGTATAGTGGCGCCCATTGAACTTCGCGCCAAAAGAGAAGAAGCTTCTATTCTCCCTCTTTTACTGATTTTTATATAAACGTTTAGTGGTATATGTTTGTTTTCATGAAATAGATATTACTTCTTTCTTTGTGTGCGTAAACCAATGCTTAAATTTTTTGATTTATTCCAAACACAGGGAAATACGTTTCGATATCTTTTTGGCTTATCTTTTAGCATAGATAAACCAAAAAACTCTAGAAATTTTAATGAGCTTTGGACAAATGTTTCTATAATAAAAATAAATAAATATGTTGTCAATCGTACACGATAATGTATCTTAAAAATAATATATAATTTTGGAATAATTTTATAATTATTTAAATGATATATAATAGACTAATATTTAAATATTATATAAAATAATTTCAATTAAATAAATATTATATTAAATATTATATAAAATATTTCAATACAGTTAATAAAATTTGATCTTCTGATCGTCAGTAATATTTATTATCAACAAAAATGAACGAACGTTTAATTGATTTTCATCGATCTCTAATGATCATCGATTGATTCATCGATCTCTAATGATCTTTCTTTCCATTTCAACGAATAAACATCGAACCTCTCTTTCCATGCGATTAAGGTTAAAACATTTAATACTTTTGGTAACTTTATAATTATTTAAACAATATATCACGTAAGCATAATACAATAAATTAATATTTGAACAACGATTTAGTTATTTAAATTTTAAATAGTTTGTAACGCGTTAATAATAAAATAATTTTAATTGTACATTTCCAATGTTGTTATGTTTTGAACTCAAGGTTGTTATCTATATAATGTCAATAAACAGAAATGCTCGAGCCGAACTAGTTATTGAAACAGTTTTATTTTGGCTACCGGCGAGTCAACATCGAAATTCTGTTTCTTTTTTACACAGGTAAGTTTAATCAATGAATACTTCCAATAATTTTATAATTATTTAAACGATGTATAATGTACACGAAGTGTATAATAAATTAATATTTGAATAATATTACATTGGCTTAAATATTACATAGCTCGTAATACGCGTTAAATATAAAATAAATTTTAATCAATAATTTCAACAAAAATGGACTCCTTAGTGACTTTGATAATGATAATGATATTGAAATAATTTTCTTTTACATTCCAATGAATAAATATTGAAAATTAACGATCTCTTCTCCAGTTAACATTGGAATATGAATTCTCGATTAAATACCATGTCACACCTATACTATGGATTTTAAAATAGTTATCTCCAGCTCGGTGGATTTTCAAATGCAGCAACTTCTACAAAGCAAGTATTCGTATTAATGAGACCAAGGACTATCGAACGAATAGCTATATATTTCAATCCATTTTTCTAAATCTTTTTAATTAAATATATTAACATCTATTAACATTTTACATTATTAATAATGTTTCAACAGATAAACATAATAGATATAATAGAATTTTTAAATAATTCCTTAAAGAAATGTATTGAAAAATATTAATTTCTTTATTACTCTTACTGATTTTTATTTATTATTTATATTTATTCTTATTTACGTTTCTCAGATTAAATACTATATTATCTGTTGTATATGTATCTATATTCATTGTTATAATAATTTAACTAGAAAGAAAGAAATATTAAGTTTGTATTATTGACGAAGACTTATCAATTAAATTATTTTTAAAAAAGTATTATCTTGCATATAATTTTTATTGCATTTTTTATGTATTATTTTTACTGCATATTAAAACATTCTGTGATCGATTATTAGTTACGCTTGATAATAGGATTTTTATACACATTGATATAATGGACGCATAGTGAGAGAGACAGTGTTTCTTTGTTATTACATTTGTTGATATTTTGTCTACATCTGAAGTCACATATACTTTGAGCGAAAGATGATAAATGGTCTTGATATTAATTTTTTAATAAATTAATTGTTTATACTCATTTATATTATATCATATTATTGATATTAGAAGAAAACAGAAACATACGATTGTGAATTCTCATTGCTATTTTTAAACACGTAATTTTCTGTGAGTATAGAGTAATTCATACATTGAAAAAGCTAGTAGCAAATAATAAAGGATCGATTTATCACTTTTATTTATTATAACCAATTACTAAGGAATGATTGTTCAATAAATTTTCCTACATCTTTTTTATATTTTACAGATATATATATATATATATATATATATATATATATATATATATATATATATATATATATATATGTTATAAGCTTTAGATCATTCATCTGTAGATTTTAAAAATATAATTATGTTAATTTTTTTTCATATGAAATAAATGAAAATAAATAAATAAATGAAATAATCTAATCAAATAATATAATTTTATTACATTTTTATTTAAAATCCAATATAGCAAAATAAAAAATGATAGTATTTAGAATTATAGAGAAATTAAGCACATACTTTTTTTATATGCATATTATTATTACATATGATTTAAAATATAGAAATACAAAGATCTTAATATATTTATATTTTTGCTTAATATATTTATATATTTATATATTGCTTTATACTTGTACAATAGCTTTACCAATATTTTGACCTTTCAACATTCCAGCAAATGCGTCGAACATATTTTCAAAACCTTTTGTAATTGTTTCTTTATAAGAAACAATTTTGCCCTCGCGAATCCATTGCAAATTTTTTTGTATTCCTTCTTGCCATTGTTCATTCCAACGTGTCACTACGAAACCTTCCATTTTTAATTGATTAAAAATCATGGCTGGTTGTAATAGTATACATTTAGGCAGAGAGGCATGATCCGAATTGTACGATGAAATACTACCACACACTGATATTCGACCATAGGGATTCATTTGATATATAACTATGCAAGAAATATCTCCTCCAACCTGTATAATTAAAAGATCAATTATATATATATATGTATCAAATACAGATAAATTAAAAAAATGTTCTGTATCCACATACATTGTCAAAATACAAGTCAACACCCTTTGGTGCTGCCTTTTTTAATGCCACAGATACATCTTGTTTTTTGTAATTTATAGCACTATTGAAGCCTAACTCATCTACTAGCCATTTACATTTCTCATCCGAACCAGCAATCCCAATAACATTAAGACCAAAAACGTTTTTTGCTATTTGACCTACGTGAGATCCAACTGCACCAGCAGCTCCGCTTATAACAAGTGTTTCACCATGTTTTGGTGAACAGATTTCAACAAGACCAAAGTATGCTGTATTTCTACACACAATAAATATATAAATATTTGTTTGACAAAATATTGAACTATTTAAAAAATTTTAAGGAAATAATTTCAATACCCTGGCATTCCTAAGACTCCTAAACATAAAGAAGGAGATAAATCTCCTATTTCTGGTAATAAATATGGTTTTTGTGCAGTAAGTTCAAGTTCTGGGAGTAATTTTGGATTCACAATTGTATGAGTTCTCCATCCAAAATATCCAACTATTCTTTTACCAACTGGATAATCTGGATTCTTAGATTCAATTATTTTACCAACTTGAGAACCTATCATAGTAATGCCAAGTGGAAACTGTACTACATATGGTCTCATATATGGATCAACAGATAGGTATTCTGCTTGCACAAGAAATTCTGAAAATTTATGAAAATATAATGTTTTACATGAATTTTTAAAGAAATGATCAAACTTTTACAATTATTTTCTATATCTTTATGCTTTCATTTCTTCATATCATTTAGGAATTGACAGTTTATCTATATATATATATATGTGTGTAGATATGAAATATATATATATATATATATATATATATATATATATGTGTGTGTGTAGATATGAAATATATATATATATATATATATATATATATATATATATATATATATATTTTCATTTCTACAAAACAATCAAGTAATACGAATCTCTAATCTCTTTATATTGGTATAATGAAAAATATTTTATATTTCCACTTGAAAGTTAAAACAGAAATAAAAGTTAATAAAAAGTATTCATTTTTGATAAGTCATGATGAATCATATAATGTATCGTCTAATAGTTTAACAAAAAAAATTTATTTAACTAACCGCCATCTGTAATTGATGCCAATTCTTCTTCCACTAATTTCAAATCTGATGGCTTAGGATCCCCTTCAAAATGTTTAACGACAACAAATTTTTTTGCTTTCACCATTTTAACAATATCTTTTGTAAATTATAGAGTTTACTAAGACCGTATTAAATAGAAATAATTACGTAATGCTCGCGAACCGGTTGAATGATAACTATCAACTAATGCTGAATGGTAGAAGTCAAGAGCTTTTATAGGCTTACATACTTTTGTGTGTGTAATATGTATACACAATATAAATAGTGATTCATACACACGTGTTTATACTTTCAAATGAAAAAAAAAAAACAATTCATTTCATGCATACAAAAATGGAGAAAGAAATATTTCTCTTAATTAACACATTTATACTTATCATTGATTCGATATTGGGAATATATTAAATTGCGAATGAC